ATGCATGAATAGGTAGATGGGTGAGTGACTAGAAGAAAGGATGGAGGGATGGAGGGGAGGAGGGAGGGAGAGAGTGAGCAGAGAGGGAGAAAGGGTTAGTTGGCAGGTGAGTGCAAGGATGAGTAGATGGACAGATAAGGGGTCTCCTCCCAGTCTGGCTCCCCGTGGGTGGAACCAGGCACCTGTCTGTTTCAGGTGGGCCTGAGCCAAGTCCGGGAAAGGAGAGTGGGGACAGCAAGCAGACAGATGAGGATGGAGAGCTGGACACAGAGGCCCAGGCTCAGGCCCTGGGCAGCAAAGTAAGTCCTCTAGAGGCACCACCTCTCATCCCAAATCCCCACCCTTCTCCCATCCATCCTCATGCCTCCCCAGCTCCCCAACACCTCCATCCAGCCACTCCACACCTCAAGCACCTGTACTTATTCTCCTCCCACCCCCACCTCCACCTGGTAATGTCCATGCCCTCTGTAGTTCCTTGTGGCTAGAGTTGAACATGGAGCCCCTCCCTCCCAAGCCTGCATGGGAGCCCAGTGATCACCTCAGAGCCCCCAAACAGGCTGCAGATGGGCAGAGCCCACTACAAGACCTGGCCTGGCTGATTGGAGTCCTGGGGCTCACAGATGTCTTGACAAAGGGTGTGTAAGAGGATAGACCTATGTTCAGATGGCTGGAGGGCCCTACATACATGTGACCTTAGCACCTTTCAGAGAAATGGACCTACGGGGTTTCCTAGGAAGCTCTTTGCCCTTGTTCAGCACCAACCCATGGGCCTTATTTTTATTGAGAATTTTTTCAATTATCTTTTATCTTATTTGTTGTGGTAGAGACAAGTCAGGCAGCCCCGGGGCTTGGGGATAGAATGGCAGTAGGGAACCAGAAGAAGAAGGGGCCAGCAGGCGAGTGTGAGTTTGGCCTTGAACCCTTTATGGGTGATGAAATCAGGTCTATAGAAAATCTATCAAATCTATAAAATCAGGCCTGTGAGCTGTTCTAAGGGAGCATAGTTGTCTTTTGCATGGAATCTAATTCACATCATATGCTGAACTCGCTGAACACTACCCAGTACCTAGAATGTTCTCCACTGAGACATAAATTTACAGGGTCAAGGTAATTGTACTAAAGGAGGTTTGTAAACAACTGCTCACACATCTAAAGAACAGGGTTCACTTCACCCACCTCCACCCCATAATCAGCATGCTACACAGACTCGAAGTCCCGGGACATCTTCCCCGTGAAGAGTTAGAAGCACCTTTGGCCCGTCACAGCTTCCCACCCAGAACCCACATGCCTTACAGCTGGGCTAAGACTCGGTACAAAAGTCTCCTGATGGGGTGGGGACTGTGGGCTCCCGGGCCCCCTTGTGACCCCAAGGCACCTTTGAGTTCGTTTCTACCTGGGTAGATATCCCAGGGGAGGCTGCCAACAGTGCGCTGAGGTGTGACCGACCCCTCGTTTATCTTATACCTGTGAAGAAAAAGCGTCTGCTCCCCTTCTGTGACGTGAACTTCGAGGAGGACTCCGACCACGCCACACAGCCTTGCGGTCATACCCTGGGCCTGTCCTCAGTCCCTGCATCCACACGCAGCCTGCAGGTCAGTGAGCTCCAGTCTCTGACCACCATCTCTCCAAGAGCCTGAGCTGGGCAGCAGGTGTTTGGGCCTGGGTTAGGTGGCACTCAGGGACACAGTGGCAGATAGCCAGGCAGTCGTACCAGGCTCTTAGGGCAGGGGCACAATCGAGGCAAGAAATGAGGGCAGAAGGATCCAGAAACGTCAGACCCTCCCAAGACACCTCGGGAGACTAAGCAGACAGCTTGGAGACGTGGGGTCATGCAGGAGCCTGAGGCTAGGCAGGTGAGTCAGGGGTCTGGGGTGTGAGGATTGGTGCTCAGGCCATAATAAGGCACAATTCCTGTGGCTCAGGAGAGCAAAGTAGAGAGCAGCACCCACCAAGGAGGTAGACGGGACCTGACTTTGAGCTGCGTCTCCGTCTTACTCAAGGGCATTCTATTGCTCAAATCTAGACTATGAATGGCGAGGTCTGCTCTTAATGTTTACCCCTGGACACTGGCTTCTTCAGTGTGGTCCGAGAGGACTTTGAGTGCTCTGCTGACTAACCATCCCACCTTGGCCCTGGGAACTTCTTTGGAGTCCTGGCCTCGCATCTGGGCAAGGGCTGGTAATTTCTGTTTTACAGAGGTGCTTTTGAGAGAGGCCGTGCCTGGCATGCACAAGGTGCTTAGATAGGTTGTAAAAGTAGCTGCGGACACAAGAGGCAAAAGAAGCCCAAGGCAGGGTCCTGAGCTCCAGCTCCCAGCAGCCTCTGGGTTCAGACAGTGCTAGAGTAAGCTGGGGAAGGACTGGGTCTTCTGATCCTCATGGAAAGAGGAGACGACCAGTAAGGGACCGCAGAAGTCAGCCCCACAGGGGAACTTTGGGCCACAGGCCCTGCTTCCTCTGAAGGTTAGGCCAAAGTGTTTATACTTTCTGTTCATACAACTTGCTTCCTGCTCCCCATGCCCTGCCACCTCTGCTACCCCACCAGCTGCAGTCAATTGCAGAGGAGCTGGCCAGAGAGCCTTCAATCCCGGGAGCCCTTGGGGAAGGTGGCACCATGTAAACACCCCTGAGGTCCTGAGGGGAGCCTGTTCAGGAACCCCACCCCCACCTCTTGTACTCTAACCATCAAGGATTATAGAAGTAGATGTGGTAGCTGTGACCCCATCCCCCAAGAAATAACTAAGTCCTTCCCAGTGGTATCCTCAAGGCTTCAGCCTCTGGGTGAACCTGGGTCCCTGGGCTGCTCAGGAGTGCTTCTATCTCCTGTGAGTTGCCTGGCCAGTGTCCTAAGGAACTCCAGCCTCACAGGCATGAGGCAGAACGGTGGAGAATGCTCCTGGCACAGTATTTAAAAATAAGAGAGGAGTAGTGTGGAGCAGATGGTTGCCTAGTAGTCAGTCAAGTAACACTACAGACCGTGGACAGCCAAGGTTGACAGCCCCTGTGCTCAGTGCCCCTCAGGTGAGCCCTTCTCCGAGGATGCCACCTCCCTGGAGCCTGAGGTTCTGAAGGAGGCTGGCGCCGGGGCTTTGGAGTACCGTCCTGGTCCAGAGGAGCAGCTGGACAGCCCCTCACCCTCCAGAGAGGATACCTTCGCTGACCTGGGCCAGCCTGAAGCCCCCCACAGGACAGCCCTGGAGACCACAGCTATTCTGGGTGGGTACTCTAGCAAACCCTTTCCAGAGGGAATCCGGGGGCCCGGGTCCCAAAGAAGTCGGGCCCTCCCTCTAGTTTGCATAAACAGGTTGGCTAATTCCTTCAGCATGATTGATTGTCCTTCACCAAACCCCATGCTTTCTCCGTCCCAATGCTCCCTGTGACACCCAGTTATACCAACAAAGGCACTAAGCCACCCCACCCCACCCCTGCCTCCTGCCACTGGTGTGGGATACGGACGTGCCCGTTTCCACAAAGTGGCCAAAGTCACCGGTCACCTGAATGACTTTGACTGTAGACAGGCCAGTTCTACCAAGTCCAAGGCTCCCCTTGGAGAGCATTGAAGCCGTCCCGTTTAGGTGCCCGGTGCCACCCTACCTGTAGCTGTAGGTGCCCATAGCAGCCCATCAGGCTGTCAGGAATTAAATAACGTAAATTGGCTGTTAGATTTTATCGGCTGGTTCTGCATTCAAATGAAATCCCTGAATCTGCCTCTTCCTGTGCCTGAGGGAGCTGGTGTGCCAGTTCAGCAGCTCAGACAGATTAAGTCAGAGCAAATAAGATCACAGCACAGGCTGCCTTCCACCCCACGGTGGCTGCAGGGAAGACTGTCTACTCCTGTCTCCCCTTGTCCTTGGCCTACAGGGACTGTAACCTCATGCTCCGTGCAGTGGTTAGGGTCCTGGGGACTTTGGGTACAGGCGGCTCCACCTCCCCCGCAAAACAATGACTAAATCAACCTATATGGACCAATGGTAAGACGGAGACCTTGGAAGACTTCGTGGGATGATGGCACATCCCTAGAGCATGTGGAAGAAGTAGGCGGGGCATGGAAGGTGAGAGACAGACACAGGAAAGCCAAGCTAAGGCCCTGGCGTCGGGCAGATTTGAGACTGGAGCCCAGCCATCCTCCTTCACTGATTCTCACACAACTTTTCACATATCAGTGTCTCCGAAATGGGGGTGTCTCACAGTGAACATGGTGAGACAGGAGTGTCAGACTGTGGCCAGCAACTCTCTTGACGGAGCAGTAGACTGTCCATGAGGTCAGGGACATGAAGACATGGTGTGCCGGCTGATCACATGACTTCCCTGAACCTCAGTGTCCTGGATAGGAAAAGCAGTTACCCATGTATGGCCACCCCCAGGTTGTAGGGTCTAAATAAGATGGTCACATCGGTTGACAAATGGCCACCAACTTATCAGCTTAAAGCAACACTGACACATGATCTCACAGGGGCCGGCATACAGGCAGGGTTTGGTGTGTCCTTGGCCCAGGGTCTCCCAGGTTCTGAGGAGCTCAAGTATCACCTGACACTCAGACTGTCCACACACTCATGTAGGGGGTGAGCAGGATGGATAGTGTATTGTGGCCTGCTGAGAGCGTCAGGCACAAGCAGAGCTGTGGGGAGTAATTTTTGGTGAGGAAAAATTACTCAGAGCCGTGGGGCCACATTCCCCTGGGGCCCAGGAATAAGCATTCAGGCCTCACTGCAGGGGAGAAAGCACACAGAGCTCTGGGAATCATGACTTTACTCTAGAATGAAAAATGATTGGCTGTGGCCACATTGGTGTGAACATCGCCCTCATTGGTAGACACGTGGTCCCAGGCCACCACTGCCCTCCACATGTGTGGACTATGGTGATGTTTACAATGTAGAATGTGGGATTATATTTAACCCCTCAACTCCTCCTCCCTTACCCTTACCCTCCAGGCCAGGAGGCTCTTTCTTGAAGATGTATATGGGGATCCTTGGTCATGTGACCTCAGAATCTGCACCCAGTCCTCATAGGAACATGGCTATGGCTTCCAATTCTTCCCCCTCTCTTTGCTTGGTTGGAGGAAACGTGCCTGTGGACGCTCAACTTTTCATTCCTAGTAATTTAAACCCTCTTATCCCACAGGTGCCATCAGGAAAGAGCAGCTCCCTCCCCAGTACCTGGCAGATGTGGACACCTCTGATGAAGACAGCCTCCAAACTCCCAGGGCAGCCTCCCAGCATTCCAAGCGCAGGGCCCGAGCTGTACCAGAGAGTCAGGTGCGGACTTGAAAGGATCCCTTCTCCTGCTACTCTGGGTGGAGCCTTTTTCTCCTCCGCACTGATTCACTTTAGAGAAATTAAAGCTTTCAGTGCTTTCAAACATCAAATGGCCTCTATCATGGGGATATGTCGTCAAGATATGTTTTTGTTGAAGTGAATTCATATAGCACAAAGCTAACAAGTTAAGGTTGACTGTTCTTCAAGAAGTTAAAAAGAAGTTATTCATGATGGCCAACACCTATAATCTAATGACATGAGGGACAGGCAGGAGGGCAAAAGGAGCTCTTCAAAAAGAAAAACACAGTTACTAGGTAATTCTTTTTTAATATTTTATTTTTATTTTACATACATGAGTGTATTACCTGCATGTATGTAAGTATACCCGTGTCATGCAATGCCCGCAGAGGTCAGAAGAGGGTGTCAGATCCCCTGGAACAGATGTTACAAATATGGGTGTTAGGAATTGAACCCAGGTCTTCTGCAAGGGCAGTCAGTGATCTTAACCACTGGGTCATCTCTCCAACCCCAGTTACTAGCTAATTCTTATGTGTGTTATATAAAACAGAGACTTATAATTACTTGTAATTATACGCCCACCAAAATTGAAAGCAGAGACTCAAAAAGATGTCTACAAACCTGTGCTGGTTTTATCCAGAGAAAAATTGCACTTGCCCTATCCTTAAGAACAGAGATAGTTTTTTAAACAGAAGCAAGGTGCCTACCAGGGGGCCCAGAGCTGTGCTGGAGAGCCCAGAGGCCATCTTCATCACAGCCTCTAATGCTCTAGTAAGTGAACATTTGCATTTCAAAAAGGCAGCTTCCAGGTCCAGAGTTCTAGGCCTGATGCAGGCTTTATTTAACTAGCTGTGAAGTTTTACATACATGTGAAATGGATCTAGAAGGAAAGACCCAGAGAGGTTCCCACCTCCTGCTGGAGATGGAACCCAGGGCCTCTCCCATGCTAGGCAAGCTCCCTAACCCTCAGTGGCACAGGTTTGGTTTGTGAGACAGGGGATCCCCATAGAGCTCAGGTTGGCCTTGAGCTGGCCACCCTCCTGCCTCAGCCTCCTGATAGCTGGGATCAGGCACCACTGCCATACCAGCTCTTCCCTTCTTTTCTCGCTTTCGTTTTTTGGGTTTTGTTGTTGTTGTTATTTATTTTTTGTTTGTGTTTTTGTTTTGGTCTTTTTGACCAAAAAGTGCTTGGTCCCTGTAGCCCCAGCTGGTCTGGACCTCACTCATTTACCTTGCTGGCCTAACTCGCTCAGCCTTTGTCTCCCTCCCCCCCCCCCCCCCTCCGTCCCCCCAGCCACCCCCTCCCCCCCCTGCTGGGGTGGTTCGTGTTTCTTTTTTTTCTCTGTTCTCTCTCCAGGCAGCCTTTGTCCCCCCCCCCCCCCCCCCCCTTCGGGGATCCAGAGACCAGCTTCTCATCCTGGTGTGGTGGTCTTCTCTTCTCTTCCTGTGGCATTTCACAGTGACAGCGTCCCTGGTGGGTGGATGGTGGCTCTTTTTCAAGTCCCCCATCACTACATAGGCCAGCAGACAAAGGCCATCTGCTGAGCACCCTCCCAAGGTTATTGATTACCGCCACCTCCACAGATACCAAATGAGCCCAGGTCACACGCCCCCTGCCAGTGCCCTCCTATGGTAGGCATGGGCCGATGGTTCATGGGCACCTGCTTTGACATTCATTTCCAGCATGCATACGTTCTTCCCCCACTCAAAGTCCTCAGCGCTGTGGTAATTACCTACCAACAATGGCAGCGTCCTGCCCCTGTGACTGTCATTTCCCTCTCTTAAGGCCAGGCGAGCGGTAAATGAGATAATGTGGGGAAGATGCACCTGCCCGCAAGGAAGCAGAGCAAAGAGAAATTGATTTTTCCCCAGCTCCGTCTGGGAGATAATAGACTGTGGCTGACTCAAGAGTCTGGTGACTCAAGGATGAGGAAGTTGTACTTTCCGTCACAAGTGACCCAGGGCTCTTGCTAGCTAATGACTTTGGTCACCTTGTTCTGCTCAATGCACAACTTCCTGTGCCAATCAGCAGCTGCAGGGAGTAGCTGCCCAGTGGCGGCCATGGTCCCCGTCTTTATCCGCTTTGTCTGACTAGGTTTCTCACCTCACTCTCTACCCCTCTCCCCTAGACCCATTCCCCTCTCTTGATTCCACTTCAGCTAGTGTTCCTGAAACCTTGGTGTCAGAAAGGGGTTTGTTTCGCAGTTAGCCTCCAGGGCCATGTGCTGAGTAGTAGACTTTTCAGGACTTTGGGGCTCGAGGAGGCAGATACCTATGGGCAGGGCCCCCCCGACCACAGCTTCTCTCCCTCTCCTACAGATCTTGGAGCTGAACAGGCGCATGTCAGCTGTGGAGAACCTGCTGGTCCACCTGGAGAATACAGTCCTGCCACCCTCAGCCCAGGTAACACCCTGGGCTGTACAAGATCAGCCTATGACCCTCCATTAAGGGAGGCTGAGGTCCCAACTTTGGTTGCAAAGGAAGAGTCCCCAGAGGTCTTGCAGCTGGTTGGTGCATGATGCTCCAAGAACAGATGAATGGATTCTCCCACACAGACCACCCCCAGCTGGGCTGGACCCACCAGGACGCTTGACATATAGAGATAACCACCTATCCTAGGGTCTCACAGAGGGAATGGGAAAGAGCCTGAAGGACACGCTTAAGCTTGCAGCCCCAGGGCCCTGGATCACAGCAGGGCAGGGCCTTCCCACACCATGTGGCCACATGACTAGTGAAGGTCTTAAGGGCTCTGACAGAATATTGAAGGCTAGGTAATTTACAAAGAGCGGAGATTTGTTTGACTTTGCTTTCTAGAGACTGGAAGTTCATGGAGTAGGGTCGTCATTGTGCTGACCATCCCGTGGTAGAGGGACGGGATGGGAGGGACAAGCTAGTGAGCCAGTGCATGAGGCCCTGGCTCAATTTTATAAGAAACTCACTCTTGTGAGCCCCTCTATATGAGTTTCCCAATCACCTCTCATAGGACCCCAACACTGTAGCTCTGGGGATTAAGGCCCAGTATATGAACTTTGGAATATGGAAAACTGTAACAACACATCATGGAGGGTTCAGACTATATGGAGCCTTCTAGGCTCTACCTTTCCCTCTGAGAGAAACGGGAGGTTGGCACGAAAGAGAGTCAGCATCCAGCTACAAAAGGATGCCCTGCTGGCATTCTGAGCACAGCATATGAAGGACAGAGGAGCGCATGAGGAGGCAGTCAGGAGGCTATGGGGACAGGCCAGGGGTGAGAAATCGGGGACACTGGCCGAGGTGATGAGAGGCTGAGTTAACAGGATTGCATAGCTGGACGTGGAGGAGAATCAATGGTGAGTTCAAGGGCATTGACCTGAACAAGCCTTAAAGGACAGAGTGAGGGTCTGCAGAGAGTCTTTCCCAATCCATTGTTAGCTGGAGCATCGTTTGGTCTATATGACTCTTGAGATAGTTTGCCATTTTTGTGTGTGTGTGTTTATCACATGACTCTGATGCCTTCTAGGAGTTGATACATAAGTCATTCAATGAAAGGCTCATGCCCACAGGCAGACAAAACATGATATCAGCCTGTTACCTGCCAAGGATGAAGGTGGATCAGGCTCTTCACCAGCGCACACCAGCATGCTGGTTGTATGTGACCAGGAGCAGGGTGACACAGCATGCCTAGATGTCCAGCGGACAGTTGTGAGACGAATCCTCAGCCAGATTAGACAGCACGTGTGCTGAGCTGGACCAGCATCTCTAGCCTGCTCCACCTCTAGCTGAGGAAGCTCATGACCCACATCCCTCTTCCCATCCCTAAGTTGGGTACAGCCCGGGATAAACAAGCAGCGGCCAGCTGCTAGTGGCTGGCAGTCCTGGTAGTTCCTTTCCATCCGTTCATGCACCAACTCCACTAGAAGTCATAATGCCATTTACACAAACTGTGACTGAGGCACATCATGCTGGAAAGAATTTCAGGCAGCAGAGAAATGGCAACCGTCTGGTGCCCGAGGCCAGCCTGAGACAAACGTGCGAACTTGCTCTGACTGTCTAACTAGCCAGGGTGAACAGATATTCTGGGTTCTTTATAGCTTATCTATGATGACCAGACATTGCAGGCTGCCTCCCTGGATCTGAACTCAAGCAGGCTCCCTGTGACAGATGGTGCCACTGAATCACAGCATACATGTGCTACCTTCTCACCTCTGTCAGCTATGTTCTGGTTTAATACCTGCTTCAAAGGTGACATGAGCTTGTCACCTCACCCTGTCCTGGACTCCAGTAAGTGTAGGACATGAAGGTCCCCATGGCTGTGCAAGCCCAGGACAGAGCCCAAAGCCCTATGAGAATTAAGAATTTCTAGACAGTGCTGAGAATAGCTGTGACACACTCCAGTCATACAGTGTGGAGAGAGCCAGAGACCCTCGTCCTCAGCTCTGTGAGCCCCAGCAGCAAGAGCCAAATGTCCAGGCCATGATCTCGGTGCAGTATCGTCTCAGTACAGGGGCTGGGGAGCTCCTGGAAGGGACTGGGAGCTCAGTGTGGCTGAGTACTTCCGTGAGGAAAGTTCAAAGACGGTGTAGACTGATGGGTCAACTTCAAAAGAGGACGTTCTACTCCAGACTCAGCATGGGTCAACCTGGAGAACTCAGCGAGGTATTCACAGACAGACAGTGTGTTCCCACTCATATGAGGAGCCTTGAGAAGTCGGGTTCACAGAGACAGAAGGAGAGCAATGGGGCCCAGGGCCAGGAGGCGGAAGGAGTCTCAGTCTAGCAAGAGGAAAAGAGCTGGGGGACTGAGCTGTGCACCTGAAAATAGTGAAGATGACAAATTCTGTATGCATACTTTACCCCAATAAACATTTTTTTCCTTTTTGAGACAGGGTCTCCCTGTAGCCCCAGCTGGCCTAGAACTCACCAGGCAGGCCTTAGTCTCCCAGAGATCAGCCTGCCTATGCCTGCCAAATGCTGGGATTAAAAGCATGCATGCACCATGACACCTGACCCCAATAAACATTTTTGAGGGTAGGGGAGAAGGGAAAAAATGTGGGTCTTAGATGGCCATGGACACTAGAGTGCCCCACCCCTTGGGACTCTGCAAGTCTGGGACAGGCTGTGCTGGAGAACGGGACAGGGAGCTCAGCTCCCAGACTGTGCTGAGGCAGGCCCACCTCCCAGGGCTGCCGCTGAGCCCCAGGCCTGGCCCCATCAGGGACCAGCTGTGGGATCGGAGCCCAGTGCTGATGCAGAGGAGGAGATGCTCAGGAGGAAGCTGGAAGAGCTGACCAGCAACATCAGTGACCAGAGCACCTCATCAGAGGAAGAGGAGGGCCGGAAGAAAGAAGCCACTCCAGATGGCACCCTCCCCGAGGTGCCCCCAGAGGTGAGACCTCCCCAAAAGTCCCCAGCACAGCAGCCAGCAGTTTACACTTAGACCATCAGCCCTTGCAGGAAGGAGGCTGGGGGATCAGCATACGGTGAGGAGGCTGGAGACCAGCCCTGGGAACTCAGGACAGAGCAGGGGCCTGCCTGCTACCTTACCACTGACCAGTGTCACCCTCTTGTCTCTAGCTGTGTGCAGCCTCAGGTCACATGGATGCTGAAGGAAGGAGCCCTCAGAGCCCTGGGGACCCTACCCAGCCTAGCAAGACCACAGATGAGGAGCTGTTAGAGCTGGAGGACAGAGTGACCACGACAGCATCCGAGGTTCAGCAAGCTGAGAGCGAGGTATACCCTCAGCTCCTAGATGGAGCCAGAGGATGCAGAGTGCAGGTCTGGGGTTTCTGACCCCCACATTCCCACCCCTGATTTTCTCTTTACCTCTCTCCTCCCCATTCAACCTGGGGAGGGCAAGCAGGCTTTTCAGTCATGAGAAAGGTGTGTGTTATAAGTCACTATCCCCCACCCCATGAGCAGAGCCTGGACAGAGGCCAAGAAGTTAGGGAAGTGGGGCTCAGGACCAGACTCAGCAGAGGGACCCCATGAGCCTCAGCAGCAGCTGCAGAGCTGAGGACTTGGAGAGAGACACCAACAGTGCCCAGGTTTGGGCCACACCAGCACGTGCACACCTCTGAGGGACAGAAGGTGACTCAGGCACTGCGCTGCCGCCTGCACCGCCCTCCCCCTGGAGTTCTATAAGGAAGAGAGACCTGTACCCACACGGTGGGAACGGCCAACACTCCAGCCCTCAGCAGCAAGTGGTGCCCAAGGAAAGTGGGCGTGACCCCCAGGGAGTGAGCCAGGCCCAGGTCTGTCCTTCACAGACTCCTTCTAGAATGTGGCTGGCATGTGCAGGGCACACGGAGGGCATCTATGAAGACCTAGACAAAACTTCTACCCTCGTGGAGCTTAGATTCTTAGTGGGAGGAGACATACAACGGAAATGAAAACAGAAAATAATCCCATCGTGAAAGAGTTGTGAGCCCAGACAGCCCCTGCTTAGAGAAGCCGGCAGGAGGGACAGCAGCACAGCAGGTCTAGGGGACGGGAGACCAGGCAGAGTCAGCAGGATGTAGAAGAGCCCTAGGGACGGTGGGAGGCTTGGTGATGACTTCTGTGAAACCCTGAGACCCACACACAGCGATAGGGAAGTAGAGAGAACGGTCCCAGGGGAGGGAAGATGAAGAAAGCCCTAGGGGAGGCCACGGGGAAAAGCTGAGGGGAGGGGCTGGGGATGTGGCTCTGTTGTAGAGCCTGTACTTGGCATGAGCAGGGCCCCAGGTTCAGTCCCCCCCCTGGGGTTCAATCCCTAGTACCACAAAAAGAAAGGGAGGGGAGGGAGGGAGGAGAAGGGAAGGGGAGGGGAGGGGAGGGGAGGGAAAAGACCAACATGGTTTATTTCCAAAAGCTTCCTGTGGGGTCTGGAGGAGGAGTGGCCAAAGGGATATGGAACAGGACAAGGATGGTTCTGGTTGTAGCAGAAGGCAGTGGCCAGGTCAGAACAGCCCAAGCTGCCCCCATCACATCCCCAGTGGGAGCCAGACTTCCAGATGTGCCAGCAGAAAGTACAAAGCACCCCTCAAGTCTCTAGGGCACCGGGTGAAAGTACCCCTCCCTGACAACCAGTCAGGATGGAGAGGAGACCCCAGGACATGGCTGTGGTTGGGACTCTGATCTTCAGAGGAAACAAGTAAGATCCATGCCGTGAGTGAGCCGGAGAAGGTGCTTTAGGGATCTGAGATGGGACGTTCAGTGGCATCTGTCTATCTGTCTGCTCTGCTCCAGGTCTCAGACATAGAGTCCAGGATCGCAGCCCTGCAGGCAGCAGGACTCACAGTGAAGCCTTCAAGAAAGCCCCAGAGAAAGTCAAACCTCCCGGTGAGCTGAACAGAGGAGTGTAGCGCCAAGTCTGTGCCCTCCTGGGACCTTCTCAATAGCCCACAGGGGCACCCAACCTTTACAGGAGCCCACCTTGCCCCCTCCCAGTATCTCATGGAGTGAGAGCCCTGCCCTGGACGATACTGACAGTCTTGTTTCTGACAACCAGTTAGGGAAGTGGACCCCTGCAAAGGCTTTTTAAACTAATTACTTATTTTTAAAATATTTTATTATTTTTATTTTTATGTGTATGAGTGTATTGCCTGCATGTATGTAAGTATACCCATGTTATGCAATGTCTGCAAAGGCCAGAAGAGGATATCAGATTCCCCTGGAACTGGAATTACGGACGGTTGTTAGCTGCCATATGAGTTCTGAGAATCAAACCCGGGTCCTCTGTAAGAGCAGTCAGTGCTCATAACCGCTGAGCCATCTCTCCAGCCCCTATTTATTATTTCCAAATGGAGAAAGTTCCTCATGGGCGTGGAAGAAGGCTCAGTGGGCAAAGTGCTTGTTGCATAAACATGAGGACCTGAGTTCAATCCCCAGAACGCATGTTAAAAAAAACCATGTGCCCAGGTGTAATGGCACATGCTTGTAACCCCAACACAGAGAAGTAGAGATCAGCATCTCTGGGGCATGCTGATCCACCAGTCTAGCCTACTTGGTAAGCTCCAGGCCAGGAAGAGACCCCGTGTCTAAAAGAAATGGTGGATGGTTCCTGAGGAATGACAGCAGAAATTTTCCTCTGACCTCCACATGGACGCATGCACAAACACACACACACAGAGAGAGAGAGAGAGAGAGAGAGAGAGAGAGAGAGAGAGAGAGATCCCTATGTAAAACTCCAGCTCCTGCTCTGAGATTTTGAATCCAAAAGCAGCAACCTGGGCAGTCAAACTTCAGGTTGGAGAACTTAATGCGTTGCCATTTGAGATGACTGTGGCTTAGAACAGTGGACGGAAGGGACTCATCACTGGACCTACCCTTATAGTGCTGACCACTATAGTGCCGTAACCCAGCATCCTTCCCCAAGTCCAGTCATAGGCATTGGACAAAGCCATGCTGGGGGAGGGGATTGGGTAGGTGACTGAAGGATGCTCTGCAGGGCCCCTATGTAGGGTCAGCCTGACCAGCCAGGCAACATGGCATTTCAGATGAACAACACCTGATATCCTGGTATATCCTGTGTGACCGAAAGGCCGTACCACACCAAGAAATTATTCATTGTTATCTGGAATGGAAAGCTAACTAGAAACTGTATTTTATTGTGCAAAGTCCACAGAACCTTATCCAGCACTCTGGGTGGTGGTTTGTGGGGACACTCTGCCCCAACATTCTTGACTGGTGTCTATAGGGGGCGTCCGTCCTGCATCCTGATAGCCTAGTCAAGTCCCTCCCTGAAACTCATAGTTCAACAAGATGATGATAACATGAGTTTCTTCCTTGGCCTCCAGATCTTCCTTCCCCGAGTTGCTGGGAAACTTTGCATGAGCCCAAAGGACCCTCATGTAGACCCCGAAGACCAGACCAAGGTGTGTTACACCACCCTCCTCCCACAGAAGCTCCACAGTGGTGGGGGGGGCAGAATGAAACGTGACCCCGAGAGCTAGCAGTGCCCATGAGGGCCCTCCTCTGATGGGCCCTGATTTGAGGGAGGGCAGCTGCTGGGACAGGGAGATCACACCCCAGAGTTGTCCTGCTCAGGGACAAGGTACCTTAGGCATCTGTCTCTACAAACCCGTCAGTCTCAGGCTGCGGCAGACCCGCACGCATCCCCAGGTACTTGTGCTGCCCAGCTCAGGCACTGGAGACCCATCGTCTATCTGAGAGACACAGCAGCGGGCTGTTGGGAGTGAAAACACCAGGAGCCAATGTACAGGAAAAGAGCCCAAAGATGAGAGGGACTCAGGGAAGACACTCAGATGTGGCAAGAGTGGAAGAGGAGAGGCCTGGGGGAGAAGGTCCAATTATTTAGGGGGTGTCTGCAACAGAATTGGGGTCCTGTTCCAGGCCCTGCCTACCTCCAGATGCCCACCACGGGCACTCATTCAAGTCTAGCCACTTGCCAGCTTGTCAGCTATAAGCACTGCTGATTCTGTATCCACCTTTCAAAGACCTGGTGGGTGGGCAGTGGGCTCAGAGAAGTGGGTGCTTGGCCAAGGTCACACATGTGGGAGTAACAGCTGGGTCCAGGCCGAGCCCTGAGTCCTGACATCCATGTATTCCTGTGGGTCCTAGGAAGCCCAGCCCACAGGCTCCAGGACTTGTCTGCAGGAGCAGCCCCCATGCACACCGGAGAACCCTAGACTCTGGGAAGAATTTCTGGGGGAATTGGGTTATTTCACTCTCTCCACTCCTGCAAAGGCCAAACAGAGAATGAATTTCTTTTCTTTTGTAGAGAGATGAACTGGAAAGGAGGGAGCAGGAACTGAGGAACAAGGGCTGTGGGGAGGGAGCACAGTTGAACCCCACAGATCCTTTACAGAGGCTGAGTTCATAGCAAAGGAACAGCACTGAGATTTGAACCCAGCTCCACAGTGCTGAGATTTGTACTCTTTCAACCCCACCACCCAAAACTGTTGGTTTCCCAGACAGGTCTTCCATGCATGTGTTGGTGCTTAAGTTAGAGACAGCTGCATTCCGGGGCTGTTAAAAAAGTTTGGCTATTAGTAGCAGAGAACAGAAAACAGGTGACCTGGGTACAATAAAAAGTTCAAATGATCTCAGTGTTCCTGAACATTACAATCCATGATGCCCAGAAATGTTCTTTTGCTCCTAGGCAGCGGCCATGCCCTATCTCCTGAGGAAGAAGCATTCCCCTGGCAGTCAAGGTAAGAGCCACCTGCTTCCCTCTCCTGCTTCCCTGGTGGCTGGGAAACGAGCTCAGAGGAGGAACACAGCCAGCACACTCCTCCCTAACCTGTGGGACTCATCCCAGGCCTCCTCCCCTGGCAGTCAAGGTAAGAGCCACCTGCTTCCCTCTCCTGCTTCCCTGGCGGCTGGGAAACCAGCTCAGAGGAGGAACACAGCCAGCACATTCCTCCCTAACCTGTGGGACTCATCCCAGGCCTCGGCTGAAGAAACCTACCAGGACCCTGGTGCCCCCCCACCCAGCGCCCATGCATATGTCTTGGGTAGATTTAAGCATGCACAGATGGTGCTGGTAGTGCTGGAGTTTCCATGGCTTCATATAAACGAGCTTGATGTGGCATATACTTCCTGTCCCTACAGAAGGTACAGGACATCAGTTAGTCCCCCTTCAGGTCTCAAAGGACATCAGCTTTATCGTGGACACAGTGAAAGTGCATAGGTTACTTTTTCCATCACTGTGTCCAAATTTCCTGAGAGAGAAACTTAAAGGAGGGAAGGTTAATTTTGGCTTACGGTTTCAGAAGGCTCAGTTCCATGGTCACTCTGCCCCGTGCACTTGAAACCTGTAACGAAGGAAGGTCCTCATTTCCTGTCAGTCAGGAAGCAGGGGGTGGTGAACAGGCTGGACCAAAGAGCAGTGGTGAGAGGTCTTCCCCACAGAGGGCACACACACACCTGTGGTGCTGCTAAATGTCATTTTGGGTAGGTCTGTGGTTAATTAAGCACCCCCCTCTGTTTCCTCAAAGGCATAGACAACAGTTCTTTTGATCGGAAGTCAGTGTACCGTGGCTCCCTGACACAGAGGAGCCCCAACAGGAGGAGGGGGACAGCCAGCCATGTCTTTGCGGTAACATCTCTAACTCTGTGACCTATTTGTGGGTTATTAAGTCTTGGGGGGAGGTGAGAATGAATTAAAACCAGAGAATCAAAGAATCAAAGTCAAAAATAATCAAAACTCTGCAAAAAGAGAATCTTAAAAGTACTTGAGAGGGGCTAGAGAGATGGCTCAGTGGTTAAGAACACTGACTGCTCTTGCAGAGGACCCAGGTTCAGTTCCCAGCACCCACATGGTGGCTAACAACAGTACGTAAGTCCAGACCCACACACCTGTGGTGCTGCTAAATGTCATTTTGGGTAGGTCTGTGGTTAATTAAGCACCCCCCTCTGTTTCCTCAAAGGCATAGACAACAGTTCTTTTGATCGGAAGTCAGTGTACCGTGGCTCCCTGACACAGAGGAGCCCCAACAGGAGGAGGGGGACAGCCAGCCATGTCTTTGCGGTAACATCTCTAACTCTGTGACCTATTTGTGGGTTATTAAGTCTTGGGGGGAGGTGAGAATGAATTAAAACCAGAGAATCAAAGAATCAAAGTCAAAAATAATCAAAACTCTGTAAAAAGAGAATCTTAAAAGTACTTGAGAGGGGTAGAGAGATGGCTCAGTGGTTAAGAACACTGACTGCTCTTGCAGAGGACCCAGGTTCAGTTCCCAGCACCCACATGGTGGCTAACAACAGTACATAAGTCCAGACCCAGGGGATCCAACACCCTCTTCTAACCTCCGCAGGCATTGCACAACACAGGGGCATTTAAAAGCATGCAGGCAATATACTCATACACACAAAATTAAAATAATAAATAATGTATTTTTAAAGTACCAGAGTTCACCAAGGAGCAAGAAGTACTAAGACAGCAGTACTAAGAGAGTCCCAAAGGGATGGGCTCAGCTCCAGAGAGCAGCTGGTCCAGGAGCCATGAGGCCTCAGGCCCAGCCAGTGCTGTGCCAGACCTGGGTGGGGAGGTTACCCTCCTGGAATTGTCCCAAACACCACCTCCATCTGGCAGTGCTGGACAGACCCACTGGATACAGAGGGTGCTCCCTGAAGACCCTCCCTGACCCAAGGCCCTCAGCAGCATGAGGACCCAACACAAGCAATTACTGTGTTGCTCATGCCGCCTGAGGCCTCTGCTCTGAGTCATGGACATCCCCAGCACTTCTCACACGTGTCACCATGATCTCAGATAACAAGGTTGGAGCCATCATCCTGGAGACACTCATAGTGACTCAGTAGCAAGTGCTTCTAATCAAGGTCTACTCTACATTTCCACGATGGAGTCCAGGAGGCAGGCTGCTTATAAAGAAAATAAGTTGATGCAGCCCCAGCCTGTAGAGTTCAACGATACATTCGGTGCTGGCATCGCCCCCTAGCAGGTACATCTGACAATGACAGGGATACATGTGAGGAGAGATTAGCTCACCAGACAGGAGACCAGGGAGCAGTTCAGGAGTCAGCTACAGGCTTGTTTTTTTAATGTGTCTATGTGAGTATATGTCAGCATGTGTCATGTGTGTGCAGACACCCTCAGAAGAGGGTGTTGAAACCCCTGGAGTTGGAGTTGCAGGCAGTTATAAGCCATCTACCATGGGTGCTTGGAACAGAGCTGTGGCCCTCCACAAGCAGTTATGAGTTACCCAACATGGGTGCTGGGAACAGAGCTGTGGCCCTCCTCAAGCAGTTATGAGTCACCCAACATGGGTGCTGGGAACAGAGCTGTGGCCCTCCACAAGCAGTTATGAGTCACCCAACATGGGTGCTGGGAACAGAGCTGTGGGCTGCTCCAAGAGCAGCAAGTGCTTCTAGCCACTCAGCCATCTCTCCAGCCCCAACTTCAGGCTTTTAAGCCAATTCCAGAGAGAATTGAGCAGGGTCCCAAAAGAATTACATTAATCCTTTCCAAAGACATGTTCCTAGTTACCTAAGACCCCCTCTTCAAGATCCATCACCATACCGGACAAAGCCTCCATTATATGAACTTTAGGGGATACCCCACATCCAAGCTATGCTACCCTCCCTGGTCCCCATGTCTCTCCCTGCCCCTGTCTTACCAGTTCAGCCCACCATCCAATCTTCATAACCCAAAAGTAGTTCAACAGTTCACTATCCAACCTCAGCTTACTGCCAGCTACAAGAGTGAGCAATGGGGGCTGGAGAGATGGCACAGCAGTTAAGAGCACTGGTTGTTCTTGCAGAAGACCTGGGTTCGAATCCAAGCACCCACATGGCAGCTAACAACTGTCCATAACTCCAGTCCCAGGGGATCTGATGGCCTCCTCTGACCTCCGAGGGCATTGCACGACATGGGTGCACTTACCTACATGCAGGCAATACACACATACACATAAAATAAAATTTTAAAAAATTTTTAAAAAGTGAGCAATGATCTGCCTGACTCAAGTCCTCAAAAGTTGTCCAAGAAAGACTGAGTTCCAAACTTCTTTTCTTGAAAAGTTGTCTTGGGCTGGGGATGTAGCTTAGTGATGAGGCCCCTGTTCAGCATGTATGAAGCCCTGGATTTAGTCTCCAACACCACAAGGAAAAAAAAAGTGATCTTGGAATTGTCCAAGAATTTATTTAAAATATCTGTCTGATTCTACCTTGCTGTCTGGGACGAATATTGACAAATACTGAAGAGGTGTTTCCATCTGTAAATATTTAGCAAAGCAGGTGACCGCAGCTGTTACCCTCTGCCTGCAGGCCCTTCCCACAGCTGTCCACATAGACTGTGTGTCATGCACATGGCCCATGGTGACACCGCCTCTCTACATCATGGCACCTAGACAGAACGTCCCCCAAGGACAGGTCTCAGGATAGCAGCTGGCTCTGCAGCTGTTCACATCCACCTAGAATTTAGTGTGCACTTGGTGGTTTTAGCCTAATTCTACACCCGGCACCACTGCTAACCAGTAAGTTCTGGTGAGCTTCACAGGACTGGAGGGCTACAGCCACCAAGCCTCCCAGCCAGCTCCTCCCTGCCACTCAGGCTCTGAGCCCTTTGTAGAACAGGCAGCTTCTCTCTCCTGGGAACCTCTGCTTGCATTTTCACCCTGTGCCCTGCAGACCTCTCTACACAATGAGACTGAGTAAGACAACTTCCGGGCCATCTTCCAAATTCCTTTCCCCATCTCTGGCAGAGCTTGGCAGGAGACAACCAGGCAGCCTTGCATCCAGGCTCCTGAGGGAACATCCACACAGGCTCTCAGTGAGGAATGATGGCAGAGCCCCAACCCAACCTCTTGATGTACGATTGTACAATCCTTGTCCTGGGGCTGTGGCCCTACTGGGGGACCCACACAAACCATGGCCTCTCATGGTCATGAACTCCATGTTTAGATTACACAGCATCTCATGGTGGAGATGCGGGACACCAGGAGAAAGCCATTCATGAGGCTGTGGCCTTTGCCTCTGCAGGAATCCCAACAAGAAGGGTTCCAATGCACACTGTAGCCAGTGGGAGGGCAGGGATGCCCTGTACCCTACATTTTGGTCAGGAATCAGGCCACTTGGCCCTCAAGATCTAAGTGTGGCCATCCCCCATGGAGAGCTGAAGACAGTGAAGGGCGTGTCTATTGATGGTGGCTTCAACATCTATAGGTTCTCAAATCAGAGCACTAGTGCCCTGACTTTGAGAGTTTTGAATTTTAAAGAACTCGCTGGACAGAAACACACACACCCCACTGGATGAGGGCCCATGCCACTAACCCAAGCTCATAGCTTGGAAAACAGGGTACGGAGAAGTTAAGCCTAAACAAGGGGCTGGGTAAGGCTGGTGCAAAGCAAACATGAGTAACTGAACAGTATGTGCACATGTGCACACATGGACCCGGTGCTCGCCTGTGTGTCTGTGTACCGTGTGCATGCTCACATGTCTGAGGTTGTATCCATCTATGTACATGTCTAGGTATGTGTTTTTGCACACATACTCATGTCTGTGTTTTTCTGTGTACCCAAGTGTCTGTGTACATGCTGGTGTGTGTATCTGTTCCCATCCATGTGGAGTGTCTATGCATACTCACCTAAGTATGTGTTCATACTCTACAGAAACCCGTGATGGCCCAGCAGCCCTAAAAGGTGAGGTTTGTGGGCACAGGACAGCACCAACAAAGCAGCCCACGCTGTTTCTTTCACACGGGCTCTGCCTGTGCTCACAGTCACTATCCCAGTGATACACAAGAAGAAACACCCATCTGTGTGAATCCACCTGTGAGATGACACGCTCCCAGACCTCGACTGTCACCAAGTTACTGACCAGAGTCAGGGCAGCTGCCTGCCTCTGGCCTGGGAGATGTAGCTGAGCTGGCTAACTGTTCCCTAGGACGACTCTTCTACCTGCCCTTTCACTGTGGCCACTTAGCCCTGTCCTCTCAGCTTTGCTTCCACAGATGGAATGGGAAGAAATAGTTCCAATCCTGTGCAGCTGCAAGTGTGTCTGTGGGTATGACGGGAAAATGGGCATCTAGACAGGTGGTGCGTGCACGACCCCCTGAGTGCTGAGGAGGAAGAAACATCTCCTCAGTGTACTGAGTCCCCACATCTACAGAGCCCCACGTTGGCTTCCTGTGTCCTCTGTGTCAAATGCCACAAGCTAAGCGGAGTACAACAGAACATGCTCTCTCATAGCTGCAGAAGCCAAAAGGCCAAAATCAAGGTGTCAGTAGGGTTGGCACAACCTGAAGTTTTGAGGGTGCTGGTGTCGCGTCTCTTCCCACTTCTGAGGGTGCAGCCATCCTAGGTGCACCTTGGCTCCGGGCCATGTCAGTGTAGTCTCCAAGCCCACCTTTGCATCACCTTTCCTGTGTGTCTCTGAACATCTGTCCTCTTCCCATAAGAACACCGTTACTGAAGGTCGGGCAACTTTACCCACTATGACAGCCTTCCTAGTGATATTTACAAAGACCTTATTTCCTGGGCTCCAAGATGGACATGAACTGAGGAAATGCTCTTTGACCCACTGCAGAGCATGAGGGTTCAAAGACTTAAAAACTCTGCAGTACACCCCAAACAGTGGGGCCTCGTCACTCCCCTGAGAACATAAAGAAGATGGGGGTGGGGCACCGTCAAGCGAAGCTCCTTTCTGCAAGAAGAGAAATCCATCCAAACAGGAAGTGTAGGAGAGGGTACAGTTTTCTCCTGCTTCAGGAAGTGCAGGGTGGCCACACCCTCAAACTTCTGCCCCTCCATTGTCCCTGCTCAGACTGTCAACTGCTCAGAATTCCAGCAGGTGCCCTGTGGTCCCATGATTCCAACTCTGTGACTAATCCCCTGACAGCCACAGCCCATTGTTCAAGAACTCAAGCAGAATGTGCGGAGCCATGAGCACCCTCAGGGCTGACCCCACGTGAGGCTGGAGAGATGGCTCAACGGTTAAGAGCACTCAGTGCTCTAGTAAAAAACCCAAGTTAGGTTCCTAGCACCTGTGTGGTGACTCTCAACCACCTGTAATTCCAGTGCTGGGGATCTGATGCCTTCCTGTAGCCTTCACAGGCATCAGGCACAAACATAGTGCACATACATGCATGCAGACAAAACATTCATACACATAAATAAATAAAACTCTAAAAATAAATTTTAAAAAAGAGGGCCCATGCCCAGAAGTCCATCTGCTGTGCCCAAAAGCTGGATCAAGAGTGTGTGGCTCAGCCGGGCATGGTGGTGCATGCCGTTAATCCCACCCAGCACTTGGGAGGCAGAGGCAGATGGATCTCTGAGCTCAAGGCCAGCCTGGTCTATGTAGTGAGTTCCAGGCCAGCTGGGGCTATAGGGAGAACCTGTCTCAAAAAGACTAAATAAAAAAAAAAAAAAAGTGTCTGTGGCTCTACTGTCCTGAGATCCATGTCCCCATTAACAAGATATTGGAAAAGCTCCCTGATCTCTGTGGTCAAGCCCTCTGTGGGACCCACTTCTCACTTCTGAAGCCAGGGGTAGCCTGAGGTGCCCAGGCCAAGCCTGCACCTGGGGCTCTACCCCCTGCCTCCTTTGGAACATCTCAAGCCACTCAAATTCCTCCTCAATCATACAGCTCCTCCAACGGATGTCAGCAGGTTTTGGGATGAGGAGAAGGCTGGGCTGAGGTAGAGATCCTCCTACCCTGTCTACTACCTCCCGTTTGAGGGACCCTCAAAGGGGCAATATGTCCAACTACACTGTGACAAAGCTACTTTTCTAAAAGGGCCCGCCATCTTGCCTATGCACACACACACATTCAATTCACAATGATGTTTAGGACTCTCCAGATTCCAAGGTCTCTCATCCTCAGTCACCTCGGGGGCCATGTGACCGAGTGCACATCCAAGGGAACCTCCCAGAAGACCCACTTCCAAGACAGAACCACACTGTACCATGGCAGTTCTCGCCGAGGTAGGAGGCAGGGCTGGCCGCCATTGCTAACCACAGAACTTCACCCAAGGTGGAACCAGGGCATAGAGGAAGCATGTAAAGCTCTCAGTGACCCTCATCCACAGGTGGGGACCACCCTTTCCAGTATTTCTTCCTCCACCCACCTCTACCCTCCACCCACCTCTACCCAAGAAGCCCACGGGCCAGAAGGAGGTGTCTTTCCTTGAGAACACAGATTCACTGATTCCCTGAAGGGTAAAGTGGCAACTGGAAGCTTTTCATAGAAGTCTCATGGAGGCCCCTGATTCATCTCTCTCACTGTTTAAGAATATTCATTGAACTTAAATGATCTTTCATCTAATTTGTAATTACTATTCGCCATATGGTGCCTTAGGTTCACAGTCCAAGTTAAATGTTGAATATTGCATATTCTTTTTTTTTCTGGTCTTTTTTCAGACAGGGTCTCCCTGTAGCCCCAGCTGGCCTGGAACTCGCTATGTAGACCAGACTGGCCTCGAACTCACAGAGATCCACCTGCCTCTGCCTCCCAAATGCTGGGACTAAAGGCGTGCGCCACCACACCCGGCTTGCATATTCATTTTAAAAGACATTTTAACAACTCAAGGTAAAAAGAATGAGCTGAGCATGCTTCAAAAGGCTGAATCTACTCAGAACTCACCAGAAGGAACCCTCTGATGTGAAGACCATGGGCTTTGGATGTGCTTTTTCTTCTACTTCGTAAATTTTTTTCTGAATGCATATGAATTACTTTTATAGTAAAATAAACCTGCCTTTAAAATGGGTTTTAAGTTTTTTATTTTGTGCATATATGTGGTGTTCGTAAATTTTTTTCTGAATGCATATGAATTACTTTTATAGTAAAATAAAGCTGCCTTTAAAATGGGTTTTAAGTTTTTTATTTTGTGCATATATGTGGTAAATGTACATGTTCATGAGGGTGTGTGATAGAGGCCAGAGATGGGCACCGGTGAGTCTCTGACTGACCCCGGAGGTCATCGATCAGGCTTCAGGAATCCACCTGTCTCTGACCCATCTACCCCAGGACTGGGGTTGCTGCCACATCCACACTCTAAACTTCCTTTTATGATAAACATAACCCTGTTTGTTTTATTTTTAATTTTTTGTTTTTTGTTGAGACAGGCTGATCTCAAACTCACAGCAATCTTCCAGCCTCGCCTTCCTGAGTGTTGGGTTTTTTACAGGCGTGCTCACCTTACCAGGCCCCTGTGCATGCATTAAACACTAGCTGTGAAGACTTGGGAAGGTCTAGAGAACATATTTTTAAATGGTAGACTCGGAATGGAATGGAGTGGCGGTGACCAGGGAAGGCTCCATGTGTGGACGGGCAGAAACGACAGCAGGGTTAGGAGAGCCATCTGGGCATGAGAGGCTTTCTGGCCTCCACAAAGCCGAGGCTCAAGTCAGACAGGAGAGGAGGGGAAGGGCACATGGAGCAGGGGCTTCGATTCGATGGCAGCATTGGCGCTAAGAGGATGCAGGGACACGTCACGGTGGAGTCTACCCAAAGGCAAGCATGAAGAGGGGTTAATGTGTTTTAAAGCCACTTGGCCCAAATGAAATTATATAATTCAGGAAGGAACAAATCACACCGCCGATGAGAGTTTTAAAAAAAGTAAAAGAAGGGAAAGATAAAAAGGCGGAGGCCTCGTGAGGGATGCCGCACAGTTACAGACTGTAGGCAGTGAGCACAGACGCCATCTTGGGGAGGGGACCAGGGACAGCTGCTGCCTCCCCACCCCCATTGGGTTATAAAAGATGAGCAGCCCTGCCTCACCTCACACTGAGGCTGCCTTCTCACCACACTCAAGGACAGCAGGTGAGTAGCACAGCGATGCTGGAGGGGCGGGTACTGTGACTGATGGCTCTTCTGTGAAATCTCTCTCTGGCCAGGGTCAGGCTTACTGAGCAGTCAAGTTGGGGCACCGGACAGAAGCAGCAGCAAGGGCCACCCTAGGGTCTGTGGTCCAGGGAGTCCTCGGGCCCCTGCTACTCCAGAGCTGTCTGTAATGGAGATGTAGACAAAGGTATCCCACTGAGCCCCGCTCTGAAGTAGGGTCTGGAAGCCCCACAGGCAGGTCTGCAGCTCTGCAGAAATCAGGTGCCCGGACTCATGCCCCAGGCTCTGCTGCATTCTAGACATGGTCCCTCAGCCTGTGTGGATGCGGTTTTCCTGATGCTTCAAGGAGTGCCTTCATTCCCTCTAGCTGGAGCCCCCCGCTCAGCGTGGGGCGCCCCAACAGCACTGTGAAAGGAGGGACTGAGCATTTAAAGAACTCTGACGGACAGCTCTTTTTGTGGGGTCATGGAGGGGAGCCCCACAGGCAGGTCTGCAGCTCTGCAGAAATCAGGTGCCCGGACTCATGACCCAGGCTCTGCTGCATTCTAGACATGGTCCCTCAGCCTGTGTGGATGCAGTTTTCCTGATGCTTCAAGGTAGTGCCTTCATTCCCTCTAGCTGGAGCTCCCCGCTCAGCGTGGGACGCCCCAACAGGACTGTGAAAGGAGGGACTGAGCATTTAAAAAACTCTGACGGACAGCTCTTTTTGTGGGGTCATGGAGGGACTGGAAAGTCCAGGTCAGCTGAGGGGTCGTCCCTTGAAGCAGACGAAGCCCCAGGGCATCTTCGAATGGGACCCGAGATGCCTGTGGGGCGAGCAGGGAGGAGGAAGTCCCTCGAGGCAGGTGTCCTAGATGGATGCTGTAGGGTAGGTCAGCACTCTCCTCCAGCAGGACACCTGCTTCCGCCCCCAGCAGCTCTCTCCTCTGTCACTGAGAGGGAAGAGCAGGTGCCTCCAACTCAAGCCGGAGCCTCCGCAAATTGGATCTTCAGTCACAGCCAGGGGTGGGGGCTATACTCACTAGTAATGGAGAGAGGGTGCTGAAGGTCCTTTCCTGTCAGTGTCAGGGGCAGGGCTAGACAGAGGGGCAGGCTGGGCCTCAGTGTCGGTAGCCCCTGGACAAAGTATGGGGAAGGACTGTGCACAGAGGTCCCAGCACTCCCAAAGGCCCAGCCCTGTCCAAGGTTGGGCAAATCACTCCCCCACCTCTGCGGCTCCCTGGGCTCCCTACAAATCCACTCCCCGCCCAGGCCTGGGTCCTAACACAAATGGACACACAGGCCCAATGATGTCCCAAGGCAGTCACCTACGCACAGCTTGCACAACTCTCTAATGGGAACTATGGCTGAGTGCACTAAACACACGCATGTGCACACTCGTATGTGCACCTTACCTATGCACATGCATGCAGTATGCACACTGGTACACACATGCACATACCTACACTCAAGTGCATGCACACCTGCCCACACACCTCTGAGGCACACACAGTCTGGGCTCCCAGCTTTGGGCACACGCACCTTGGGCTCAGACTTAATTTTCTCCTACACCTCTGCCCCCAGGCTGTGCCCTCCCCTGTGGGAGTCCATCTCCGGGGCATCTTCTGAGAAACAGGAAGCATGGCAGCTCTGAGGGCCTGGCTCCTATGCCTGCTGCTGCTGCTGGGCCTGGTTCTTCCAGGGGCTGCAAGTCGCGCCCACCAGCACTCCATGGAGACGCGTGGTGAGTGCCTGGCTGCAGGTGGGCAGCCTCCCTTGCCCTTCCCTCTGCACACTCCTCAGCTGCTTTGAGTGCTTGGCACCTGGAGGGACCTAGCCACCTCCTAAGCCAGAGCCATTGTCCTGGCCACATGCCCAGTTTGGGGCTGACCTCTTGATAGGGAGTTCCTGTTGCAAGGGCTTCTCCTGCCCCATGTCCCACCATGTTCCTGCCCAACTTGCTCTGGTCCCTTAAGAACCCCAGGGGGACGGGGACGGGGGTGGGGGCAGGAAGGGGAAGTCCAAGTCCATCCTAGTATACACCTGAATTAATTTCCCAAAGTCACACCACTGCCCAGAAATGACCTGGCCAGACTTTCTGGGTGACTCTTTCTCAGAGTGGGGGCTAACATGGCCTGGTCCCTGGGCAGTCATCAGTTTAGGGGTTCCGTGTAGAGGACACTGCCCCTGTGTTCCAGGCCTGTCACCTCCAGGAGCACGCAGCACACTCCGGGAGCAGGCATCTCATGCACTGCTCTGGCTCTTTCCTTTCCAGCCCCGGACATCAACCCTGCCTGGTATAGGGGCCGAGGGATTAGACCTGTGGGCCGCTTTGGACGGAGGAGGGCAGCTCTGCGGGATGCCCCCATGACCAGCCTGCGGTGCCGGCCGAGTTGCCTCCCTCGGGATGGCGGTGCCTAGTTCTCTCAGTGTGGAGGACAGCCCAGCTCATGAAGACAGTGAACCAAGCGTCGCCTGATCATCTCTCCCCCTCCAGCTGCTGTGCCTTCGATCTAATAAAAGCTCTGTTTGCTGTACACCTGTGGCTGTGTGGTAACAAACGGGAAGTTGTTTTCTCTCCTGTGAGGTTGTCCAGGAAGGAAGCTCAGCCCCAGCAGATTCTTAGGAAAGAAGAGGCTCTGATCGCCCTAAGGAGAACAGCTGTGACCTCTCCCGACCACACCCTGCCAAGGGTCTCCTGGTCCCTTAACAACTTGGGTTGGGGAAGAAGAGACTGTCAATCCCAGGGTTCCTGTAAAGCCCTGTTTTCCAAAGCCACACCACTGCCCAGAAATGGCCTGGCCAGACCTGCAGGATGCCCCGCTCCTTGCTCACCTATGACCCAGAGCTCCCACCCAGTCAGCCTGCACACTGCACAAGGCCAGCAGAGGTCATACACCACAGTGTGCGGGACACTGGATCCTAGAGAAAGGTGACACAGCCTTCCTGCTGGGCACTGTCCCTCTCCACATTATTTTTTAAGACTAACTTTTAGAGCAGTTCTGGGTTTGCTGCAAAACTGAGATGCAGAGATGGCCCTGAGAGCCTGCCCTACACCCCCAAGGCCTCAACTCAAAAGCTCCCCACAGCTCAGGGCACATCTGTTACCATACATGAAGCCGCGTGGCACCCTCGTCACCCAGGCCCTGCAGTTAGGTTCACACTCAGCACTGTGCCTGCTGTCTGTGCAATGCATGATCTGCCTGTACCAGTGCAGTGACACATGGGGTCATCAACCAACCTGGTCGTCCCCTGGCCTTCACCTGTTCATTAGCCTCTGTGGGACCCTGGCAGCCACCACAGGCAGTCAGTCATGGCACTCATCCCTGAGATTCCCAGGGACTTGACACTGACAGACTTAAACCCAATCACTTTGACCCTGCATGCCCCTTTTAAATCAAACAGGTGTCTCTATGCCCCACCTCTGGAGTCGGGGGACATACCCACTCTACCTGGATGCCTGAGCCAGAGTAGGGTGGTTGCCAACCCAGCATGGTTAGTGTCCTTAGAAAAAGTAGAAATTTGGACAGACGTAAGCTTAGGGAGAAGCCATGGGAAGCTGGAGACGCAATGAGGAGGCGCACCTCGCCCAACATACCTACCCAGAGCAGTGCCAATGGCTGACAGCGGCCTCATCAGCCAGTATAGAGATCTGGACTTGGCCTTCTCCCAGCTCAAAAGGACCCAGCTTACCACAAACCAAGCCGAGCTTCAGTCGGGAAGAAGAGCCACGGCTTCCAGCTGCTAAGATGCTCACTCCGGCTGCCATCAGAGCATCTGTTGGGTGAATGTTTGCTGGGGAGACGTGACAGATGGGGTCCCCCTTAAGCTAACTTTCCATACTTTATACATTCTAGCACCTTCCAAGGCTGTGAGCACCTGAGGCAGAATTACATGCAGATAGGAGCTGGGCACGGCAGGGAGAGGTTGGAATCTAAAATGAGGGTGTAGAGACCCTCCCTGCCCCCGCCCCGTTCTGTGAGGGAACACCAACAGGCCCGGTCTCATTGAGGGTTCCCTGCAGGTCAGCTCTGCTGCTCTGATGGAGATCGCAGCAGCTGCTATGTTGGGAATTGCGACCACCCACTTTCCAGGAAACAAATGGTCTCCTCTGTCCAGAAAGATGACTGTGGGCATATTTATGTTCTCCATAGTCTCGGAACAGTTTTCACACATACGGGAAAGTTTAAAAACTACTGTCATGACTACCTCAAAATGTCTATCTTCAAGCCCCCAAGAACATCCAGGAAGTTTTTTTAAGACTGTTTTTTTCCAACCAGGCTCCCATCTAAATTCAGTTACTTTCCTCGGTCCTTGGGCATCATATTTTTGCATATAGTCACAGAATTATCCTTTGCCCACAAGGTGGGCTGTTCTATAAAATGACATACATAATTGATGTGTTGATTGTTATGCCCCCCCCACAACCCACCCCAGGTATGCTTGGCTCTGTTCCTGTACATCCTGTAGAAGAGGAGGCTGGGTCTTAGCTGTCCTGTGCCTCACTGAGGCCCGGAGGCCCTATGTTCTCTGATGGAGTCCTGGGTCCCACTTTGACATGCTGACCTTGACCTTGTGCATGAGGGCAGTCTCTCAGTCATCAGGGATTTCTCTCCTGTGATCACAGAGTCCACCCACCTGGTGGGGACTAGAAGAGGGAACTGATCACAGCAGATCCAGTCAGTCTTCCGTAGACGAAGACAGGATTCCAAATGGAGTGAGTCAAAGCAAGCAGCATAAGATGGGCGGGGCGGGGGGGAAGGCCAGCAGTCAGGCAGCACGCTGTGAATCTCCTGAGTTTCCCTATTTCCTACTCTGCACTGCTGACTTGACTTTAAGGTGGTGCCATTGAGTTCTAGGAACCCAGGTCAGTGGAGTTTGCCTTGGGCAGTACCGCAGCGCCATCTAGTGGCTACGTACAACACTGGCCTCCTACCATCTCCAGGGTGGTCCTGCCTGCCTACCCAAGGAGTCCCCTACCCTGTCCAAGGCCTTGGGGGTGACGAGAACAGCCTGGGATGCCAGAAATATGTACCTCCCCGATTTTACCTGTGAGAGAGTAATCACGTGACCACTGTCCACCTTTCCTAGAAAAGCAGTTACACAGCAGTCAGCTTCCCTAGGACGTTGATGGGGAGGGTAGGTGAAAATCTCCCAAAGGGGTTCTCTTGACCTGTCCCCCCCTGATCATGAGAATGAATCTTGTGGTGTCTGGTCCACATCTGTCCAGTGGTCATATTAGGACCACATCAGCACAAGGAAAGTCAGGGTTGTTTTCAGGCCTTAGAGCAGGAGCTGGGGGTTCCAGGGGTGCAGTGGACCCATGAGGCTCCCTCCAGTTAGAGGAACTTGGCCCCGGGGTGTGACTGAGCACCGGAAAACACGGCCTGGCACAATCTGAGGGGAAGGGGAGGAACACTTGCCAGAACCGAGGAGCGAAATGGGTCCTTGAGGGGCAGGGACCTTCAGCCAGGACACAGCCAGTCGTCCTGGGCGACCTCACTGAGGTGGATGCTGATCGTTGGCTGGTCTCCTTGTCACGTCCCCAGTTCTCAGCAAGGGCTCTCCCTGGGCTGAGGCCCACCTGAAGCCTGAGGCCAGGTGGCTGGGGTGCAAAGCTCTCTGTGCAATGCAGAGCACACACCCCAGGTACGGATGGAAGCTCCTGGACAGCCCGAGGGGCCTTTGGGCAGGAAGCTAGATCCAGGTAGGAGGGGTACCTGGCATTCGTCCTTCACCTTCACCTTTCAGATACAGTGAGGCTGCCTTGCCAGTGAGATAGTGGTTTGTTTTGTGATGGTGTTGCTGGAGATTGTCTCACTACGTCACCCAGGATGTGCCACCCCTCTGCACTGGCCTCTCAAATGCTGGGACTAGAGGCCTGCATCATCACACCCAACAACGCCTCATTATTCAGACTCATGCCTGCTTGTGACCGTCCCAGAGGTAAGGGCGAAAACCAACTTCACACCACATTCTAAAGACCTCCACCTTGCCACATCAGGCATCAAGAGAAAGACCCATCAGGACACCCTGCCTACCCCCCTGGACAGGGACCTGGGCTTCTCTATAAAGACAAGCAGTCTCCGTGGGGATAACTTGATTACTATCAGGAGAGACATCCCACCCAGAGCGACGTCCATGCCCACCTTCACCACACCTGCCCGGTGAGTCTCCTCTGTGTTTAGTGAACAGAAGCCCGTAAAGAATGTGTGCAGAAAGACCAAACGATGCCACCTGCCAGGCCGTGTGTCCTGCTGCAACCTTGGGAAGTCCTCAGATTGTCAACAAGTTTAATTTTTAAAGGAAAAGACTTGGAGACGGTACAACATTTACCTTAGGACAGAAGGCTCAGAGTCCCTGTGGCACTGGACAGAAGCCTGACTGTGTCTACCCACACCTGGAGTGGGGAGCCGGTGCTCCACCCCAGCTGCCCTGTCAAACTCCGCTCCCAGGGTGACCTCACTGAGACCCACACACCATGAGCTCATGACTCCATTTCTTCCTGGCACTGATGCCCCCATCAGCCCCTGCTTCCTCCTTCTAGAAGTAATGCAGTCCAGCCCCCAAGGACCAGCTGCCCACACAGCCCAGGCTGGAACATCAGTCCACCCATCACAGAGATCAAAGGATTTTTTTCAAGTCCTTGCTTCTGTTCAGCCTCATTAATTCCTCTGTTGGTGAGGCAGCTGACAGGGACAGCCCTGGTAGAGCAGGCACGCCTGGCCCAGGGCATCCAGGAATGAGAAAGTATCTATCGGATAAGATGGGGCCAATGGTCTACTGGGAGTCGTTTGGCACTGGATTCTCCCTGACAGTTCCACAGGCGTTGGGAAGTGCTTATGAAGGATGCCAACTTCTGGAAGCCTCCAGGACTCGGCACAATCCGGTATCAACAGAGAACACAGATGAATAGAGCTGACAGGCCTCTGCTAAAGGAGCAACCCAGGCTGGGGACTCTGAGGCACGGCTGGGATGTCCTCCCCTCGCCCTCCTGTGGTGGCGGCATCTATCGGATACAGCACTTGCCCTGCCTGGCAGCAGGCCCCTGGGTCAGAACAACAGCTTCGCCCCCCTGCCTGCTCCCCTGGTCTCCTGCTTTCTTCAGTAGCTCCCGGGCTGTGGAAGACAGAAAGAGGGATCAGTGGAGGGGGGATTCCGGCCCCCAGAGCCTGGCAGTTACCCAGAGCCATAGCCCAAGGGCTTCATGTCACTTTTCCTGGCCGTCCTTCCCACCCCGGACACCAGAAAAGAACTGGGCAGGGAGGCATGGTGGCGAGCTCCTGCCCTCCTGTGTCACGCTGTCACTCACCAACAGTGCCGAAGACCTCAGACACCTGGTAGTTCAGCTTGGCCGAGGTTTCCATGAACAGCAGGCTTCTGCTCTCTGCAAACTCCTTCCCTTCCTGAGGGAAGAGGCCAGTGTTTTTAATGAGAGCTCCAAGGACACCTGGTTGACTTCTAACGTGAAGGAACTGTCATCCACCCATAACCCAGCACTCTGGAGCTGAGGCAGGAGGATTGTGAGTTCTAGGCCAGCCTGAGGCACATAAGGAGGCCTCTCAAAAATAAATACATAAATAATAAATAAATAACAAATACCGGTCATGGCAGAACACATGTGTATGTACACATTCTACACACAGACCTGGATATACACACTTCTGTGCATACCTCCTACATCAATAGTTTCCAGAACAAGGGAAACTAAGGTGAGCTCTGTATGTACATGTGCACATACAGTGCAAATGCGTGTAGGGTGCGAATGTGTGTGGTGTACATGCATATGTGTGCATGTATGCATTTGTGATATGTATGGGTGAAGTATGAGTGTATGTGTGAGTGTGTGCTTATGAAGTATGAGTGTGTGCATGTGTGTGCTTGTGACGTATGAATGTGTGTGCATGTGTGTGAGCGTGTGCTTGTGAAGTATGACTGTGTTCATGTGTATGTGAGCATGTACTTATGAGTGTGTGTGCATTTGTGAGTGTGTGCTAATGAAGTATGTGTGTGCTTGTGAGTGTGTGCATGTGTGTGTGCATGTGTGTGAGCATGTGCTTGTGCAGTATGACTGTGTTCATGTTCATGTGAGCATGTACTTATAGTGTGTGTGCATGTGTGAGTGTGCTTGTGAAGTATGAGTGTGTGCATGTGTGTGCTTATGAAGTATGAGTGTGTATGTGAGTGTGTGTGAGAGTATGTGCTTATGAAGTATTGGACATGCATGTAAGCGTGAGTGCCTGAGGGTGTGCTGTGCTGGTGTGTATGTCCAAGGTCTCAAGCACCGCCAGGTCTGCAGAGGCGGGGGCTCCCCCTGCTGCCCTCCACCAAGCGGCACCTGGAAGGTCACCTCTCGCTCCTCGCCGAGGTCCGTCTTGTTGCCAACCAGCATCACTATGACCTCTCCTGGGGAGAACTCCTTCTCCAGGTCCTCCAGCCACTGCTGGGCCTTGTGGAAGGAATCCTAAAGAGACGAAACCAAAACTGTGCCGGCACCTTCCCTGCTGAGCCTCTATGGGTACGTGCCACATGCCTTGTCTCAGAATGCAATGCCAATGGCAGACCTGCAGTGGCCATTTGGAGTGCAGCCAGGCTGGGCTGGCCCTGCTTGGGGAGAGCTGTGACAGCACAGGGCTGAGGGCATTGGAGGCCTTAGCCTTTGGGGTCTGGAGCTCCACCCTGGTCATTATTACCACTATTACCACCCCAAACTGGGCTTCTAACTAGCACCCCATAGGCTTGGTGGAAGGACTTGACTCTAGGCCCTACAGGGCCTCCCTCTTCACCCTCAGCGTCAAGACTGATGTGGGGACCCTGTTCTCCACACTCCTGGGTCCACACCCGACACATCCTCTAAATCTACCAGCTGGGCCCCTCTTCCACACCCAATCCTCGGCCTCTTTTGCTCACCTGTCACCTGGCATAACTAGTCCGATTCCCTACCTTCCCTTAGAGGCCCTGAGGCAGTAAGCCCACTCAGCCCTAGGCTGGGTTGAATATGTCCTTTGAGTCCAGTCCTTCCTTAGCACCTTCACATGTGCTGTATGTTCAGCATCCTCTGATGCACATGCTGGGCCGGGGCGTGGGGTCTGAAGAGGTGGGCTGGGTCTGTAACAGACCCTGTCTATCTCAGCAGCACTCCAGCAAAAGAGGAAGGTGGAGGGGTGTTCTGGGAGACTGCGGAGAAGCAGAGCCCAAACTTGGAAGTGGAGGGGTTGCCAGGAAGGCTTCCTGGAGGAGATGTCTAGGGTACCCTCAATGGCCCCTATTTGTTGACATAGTAGTATGTAAATCATGGCACCAGCAGAGTTTCCTTGCCACTGGTCCTGCGGAAGTCAGCAAACTGCAGCTGCCTGGGGAAGGAAACGCGATGTCCTGGAGGTGGCCCTACCTCCTGGGTGATGTCATACACTAAGAGAGCCGCGTTGGCACCCCTGAAATAGAGGTGGCAGACGCTGTGGTACTTCTCCTGGCCAGCCGTGTCCCAGATCTCAAGCTTCAGAGACGAGGCTCCCAAATCCACCACCTTCGTGAAGAACGCACCTGCGAAGGGAGACCAGGGGGTGTTTTCTAGGGACAAGGTGGTCACCACGGCTCCTGGTGTAACGTGTAAGGCCCATAGTCAGCAGACAGGTTGGAGGCAGCTAGGCACGGGCTGGTGGAGGCTGAGCAGAGGCCTGTACCACAAACCAGGGCTTCCTTATGAAGCAAAGCACAGGGACAACTGCTCCAGCTCCCTTGTGGGCTTCCACTTTGGGTGAAATCAAAGACCCCAGACTACGAGTGACATGGAAGGGATCTCATGATCCGGACTCATCTCTGAAGCTTCCGGTGACGTCACTGAGCTCTGCAGATTCCTGAGCCTCACTGGCCACTCGGCTGTCTGCCTTACCCTCATGCTCACACCAGAGGCTAGCCTCTCCAGCCTCCTGCTGCTGCAGTCCTTCCCGCCTGTACCTAGAACTGAACCCAGGTCCTCTGCAAGAGCAGTAAGCACTTTTATGACTGAGCTTGCTCTCTAGACCCTGATGTGATTTTTAAATAGTAATTTAAGAGTAGAAAAAGGTGTGTGTCAAGTGTGTGAGGTGCTGGCAACTAGAGGGAAAGGTGCAGGGGAAGGCAGGTGCCCAGGACACGAAGGGTCAACAGAGACTGAGGCTTCTCCCAGAGCCGCCTCCCCACCCAGACCCAGGGTGGCTTTGAAGCCAATTGGGGAAGTTGACCTACAATGGCAGATAGACCTACAATGTTTGATATAAAAACTTCCCCTCCCATATAGCACACGAGTGTCTTGGAGTTGCCACAGTGACTGCAAACTTAAGGACTTGAAAGGAGGAAATATGTTCTTCCAGCTCCGGAGGCATGAAGCCCAAGGTCAAGGTCAAGCCTCTGGGGGAGAAGTCATTCCCACCTCTGGGGGCTCCAGGCACCCTTGGCATCTCTGGACCTTGGACTCATCACCCCAATCTGGCCTCCCTCCATATCTGTGTTCTCTCTCTTCTCTTGAGGACAGCAGTCACTGAACTTGGGGACCTCCCAAGTCCAAGGCAATCTCATCTCCTCACCCTGAAGGCACCACCTTCACAGACTCTGAGAGTTAGGTCTTGCTCATCTCTGAGGACATGGTTCTTTGCACCCCCGGGACTCACTGCTCTAGCAACATTGGTGTTTTATCTACACTTTTCTCATGTTTCCAGTTTTGGAGACAATGGGGCGATTCTGATAGATAGACTTACACGTTTGAAATCAAAAGCTCTGTCCAAGGGCAATGCATGAGCATCCCAGTGACAAGTGACCACAAACTAGGTGGTTCTCAACATCTTAAACATTGTCTCCAGTCATGGGGAGACGGCTCAGTGGATAAGTGCACTTTCTTTTCAGCATGGAACCCTAAGTTAGATTCCTATCACCCATAAAAAGCCAGGCCCCATGTGCCCCTGTAACCCAGCACTGGGGGTGGCAGAGCCTGGTTCCGGGTTCCATGAGAGAGCCTGTCTCAAGGGAATGAGATTGAGAGTGACAGGACACCCAATGTCTTCATAAAGACTCCATACACATGTATGGGCATGTACCCATATACATATGTGCATATACATCACATACAATCACACACATATACCACCCACCCCCCCACACACACACACACACACTCAAGGGTTGTCTTGGTCAGGTGACATGTAGACATCACTCTCTAGGCAGCCTCCTCCATTTACAGTCTTAGTCTCTCCCTTTCCGTTTTCTGGTTTGATGGTGACGGCTGATGGTCACCAGTGTCAAAACCCAGCAGACCACCAAGAGCAGCATGGTTTTCAGCTCAAGCTGGTATGTGACCCAATGTTGGGATATTTATGGACTGCAAAGCTGAACCTTCCTGGAGAAGAGGGAGGTGTCACCCTACCAGGCCTGGCCACCTGCCCCACAGTAGGACAGTCATCAAGACAGCAAGTTTTGAAGGTAAGATTTTTTTTTTTTTGGTCTTTTTGAGACAGGGTCTCCCTGTAGCCCAAGCTGTCCTAGAACGCACTATGTAGATCAGGCTAGCCTTAAACTCACAGAGATTCACCTGCCTCTGCCTCCCAAGTGCTGGGACTACAGGCGTGCGCCACCATGCCCGGCAGGTAAGATGTTTTATAAGACAAAGTGTGGAAGGTGAGACCCAAGTCTCAAGCACACCTTCCTGAGGACTGGGCTGGGGAGCTCACAGGCCCCAAGGGAGAACCTACTACTGTTATTTTGTTAAGTGGACATAGTAACAAACTGCCTTCTAAATATTTATCTTTTTTTATGTGTATGCATGTATTGCCTGCATGTAGGTAAGTGCACCCGTGTCATACAATGCCTATGGAGGACTTAAGAGGCTGTCAGATCCCCTGGAACTGGAGTTACGGACAGTTGTTAGCTGCCATGTGGGTGCTGGGATTCGAACCCGGGTCTTCTGCAAGAACAGTCAGTGTTCTTAACCTCTGAGCCATCTCTCCAGGCCCCCTAAATACTTATCTTTATACCCATAGATTAATGCAGCTCTCAGACCTCATCGGAGAAGCTTCTTGGGGGAGGTGGATGGCAATTAATACACAACTCACAGTTGGCCAAACTGCAGAGAACAAGTGACTATAAGGTGCTCATCCCTGAACAGAGCCTCTAGAATACACACACACACACACGCACACACACACACACACACACACACACACACACACACGCACGCACGCACGCACACCCCAAGGCTCGGAGAACGTGGTGGACCAGGGGGAGGAGTGCTGTGAAGCAGTGTCTTTTGGTTAAGACACAGTGTCTTTTGGATGGCCACAGCATCCATGAACTTACAGCAACTGTGGTGTCTGCACAAGACTTAGGAAAGATCCCGCCAGTCAACATTCCAGCACAGAGGTGGATGGGGTTCATAAGCCCCCACCCCTACTACAGTTGATGGCTTCTGGGAGACAGAGAGCCAGTGTTCTCTAAGGATGTAGCCCCTGGTAGGTCAACCATGCCCAGTGGACGGCTCCACACCCATGGCATAAGGGTAGCACTAATTGGATTCTGTGGGTTATTAAAAAAGATGATGTGGAGTTGGGAGGGGGATATGGTCGGGGGAGAGTCAGGAGGAGTCAAAGGGGGACATGGGGGCGGATATGATAAAAATGCATTGCATATATGTATGAAATTCTCAAAGAATTCACTTTAAATATTATATTTTTTAGAAGAAGCAAACTGATGTAAGGATTGGGAAAGGTATTCGAGATGGAGCAATCAGAGGTTGGTAGATTCAGACCTAATGGCTCCTGAGACGTAGCTTAGCTCACTGTTACATATCCACATGGAAGAGCTTCCACAGCACAGCAAAACTAGAGAAACTCAAAGTACTGCCCAACTTTGACCTCTGACACCAGTCACATACATACTGCCCAGCTGTGTGACCTCTGAAAATTAATCACGTGTCCAGTTGTGTGGCCTCTGACACCAGTCACATACATAATGTCTGGCTGTATGACTTCTAAAATGCCATTTTAAAAATATATATA